GTCAGTAGTTAGAGGCGAGTGTAGCAGTGATGTTTAAACGTATTTGCCACATAGCTGCATACTGTATCTGCTGTGATTCACTACAGTTGCGCACAATTCGTGCGATCTAGACAGGAGAGCTGCAACGGCCAATTTTAAGGCCCCGCCTTAACATGTGGCGGAAGTATGTAAGTAAGTAAGCGCCAGCTGTACGCCGTAACGGCGCTTCGCTGTCATGCGACCACCACTAGTCGCGCGCGGGCTGAGTATACCGCGAGGACGCCCACCCCCACACGGATTCGAACCGGCGACCTTATGGGTCCAAACCAGACGTGCAGACCACTCGGCCACTTGCTTGGCGGATGTGGATCGCCATTAAATACATTCACTGTTTCTTCTTTTCCTTGGAGACATTGTATACTGGAAAGCAATCGAAGCATCAGATTTTGTCTCTGCTATCAGATTGTTAGGCACCTGATATGGATTATCGCTATCTGGTACAAGTCCCTCACCTCGCTTTATCGCCTTGTGGGTTAGGTCCTTTAGCCAAAGGCTCGGTGTACTGGTCCTATAAAACTACACACCTAATTCGGCTTAGGCAACCGGTCAGTATCTCGCCAACTGACGAACTATAGAACCGCACTCCCACACTTTCACACCCTTATGATGATTTACTCTTCTTCTGCCACTTCAAATTTATAATCCTTGATCACCTACTTCTCTATCCTCCCTTACTATCACTCACCACATTTCTTACTTAATATCTCAAGGAAGAACAACCCTCGCCGATACATTTGTCTCCATTACGCACACAATGCTTCAGAAGGAACCACTAGCGGCGTACTCTCCAATCGTCTCTTCTGTAGCTAACCATCTTCAATGTATGCACTTTCTGCAGATGGTACAACAGGCGGAACTGACGCACACCTTGGAGACTCTTGCAATTAATGTCTGCTACGGGACTGAAACACAAGGATTTCAATACAGTCTACCGATTGCCATCACCGATGCACCCACACACTCGTTTTCATCTTCACCTTTCTGGTGACGCTGAGGCTGCCGCATCTGGACACGCTGGTCTTATGGTCTCACAGTACTATAGCTGAGGTCGCCTTTCGTGATTGCATTCCAGTCAACAACCCTGTTTGTGTTACAAGTCTCAATGGCTCTTGCAAGGTTAACATACATCGAACAGAAAAATGTGCCCTTTCTGTGCTTTCAACTTGACCACTGACTGCAGCTCGGGATAAAGTCAAGGACTCGGTCTATCAAATATTCATGATCTACTAGTGAGGGTGCCTAAAAGGGACATCATTATTATTTCAGAAGATTGCAACTTACGTGTCCACCAGTTGCTGCCATACAAACGCCGCCTCGGGCGACTGCATGGATATGGTGATATTCGCTCAGACAGTAGAGAAAGACTGATTAGCCTATGTGCCGACCACCAGCCCTTCCTCTCAAGCGCTGCTTTTCTTCATCATGCACTCCACTATGCCACCTGGCGTCTTCCATCCTCTTTTCAGCGTTGGTCGTAAATTGTTCACATGGCCATATGTCGCAGGAATTACCAGTCATGTTGGTCAATTTGTGTCGAGAGCCATCATTCACTTGTGTGCGCAGCAGTACATGCGTCTCGGTGGCTCAACTGGAGCCAAACATCCTAACTGAATATTTACAATGTGGATGACCCATGTAGTATCTAGAGACTCCGTTAAAACTTCGCTCACCCCTCCTCTGGATGCTGATCAGCACTGGTCAGGCTTGCAGCCTGCCATGTTATTCATAATTTCGTCAAGCTGTGGTTTCACCCGTTGCACAACTCAAAGCTGGATTTCGGCGACATCCTCAGTACTGCTAGATTGTCAGTGGGCTATGCACATCGGTAGGGAACACAACTAACCCTGGCGGTCTATTTCTCAACAACTGAAAGCAGTTCTTCGCTTTGATTGTGAATCCTCGCGATCAAAATAGCTGCCGAGTTGGAAGACGCTGCATCGGTTAAAAAGTTCCACGGTTTATTTTGCCCCATCAACACACTACCATTTAGACAACCTACGGTTAGGAGGCACCAACATCACCAGCCTACTCAGGCGCTTGGATCGCTGGTCAGAGCACTTTGTTTTTCAATTCATTTACCCAGTACAGTCCTTTGCGATAATTTCATTTCCATCGGATGATGCTTGACCTGTCCCCACAGATTATAACTAAGGTAGAGATTCTCAGCGCAGTCATAAAACTCGCAGTTTTGAGAGCCTCCCACGCTTATTCAAAAACAACGGGGATGTGCTTGACAACGAAGTCCTTTTGCTGTTCCTAAAGTTTTGGAATGACGAGGTTCCCAACTCATGGTGAGGAATTAGTGGTTGTCCCGATCCACAGGATGAGGTCTAGCACGATTGCGCTAATGACCGTCGTGCCTCTTTAATATTTGTTGCGTTCAAGATTTCTGTATCCCTCTTACTGCGCAGGTTTCAGTTATTAGAGTTTTTCCTGAGATAAACAAGCCAGTTTTCGTCCAGACTAAACTTGCATCGACCAAATCTTCACGTTGCGTGAACTTCTCGAATTCCTCTACTTCCACTGACGACCAACAACCGTAATGTTATTGGACATCCTAGCGGCATTTGATTCAGTAAACTGATTTGTCTTGAAGTACTGTTTACTAAGAATTAATGTCCTCGACAAGTTTGTAGCCATTCTGGGGGTACTGTAGCGTCACACGTCAGCAAAGTTAGGGCTTAACATGTGTTTTTCTTTTCGGTTGCTGTCACAGGTAGCGTTCGACAAGGTCGCCGTGTATCATATTCCCTTTCCAATTACGGTTCTGAAGATGTCCAATAATCGCTTGACGCTGTCCGGAACTATGGCGTTGAGCCTCTTCCTTGCGACAGGGTTGCGAACTTGAACTAAGCCGATGATATCGCTTTGCTTGGGTCGATCCATATTCCGTCCAAAGCGTTTTGAACCCCTTAACGACGGAGTCCTGCAAATACGGCTTACTCTTCCTCAACCAAATGTAAAACACTACCCCAGAATTGGCATGCGCTTGTGCCTGCCCTCACCCCTGCTGGTGACATTCTTGAACAAGTCATTTATTTCACTTACCTATGGAGTTGCATCACTGCTGAGGCGCGATGTTGGAAATGATGAGACTTCATTACGGATTGTAAGGGCATGACTTGCTTACAACTCAACTAGAAACATATGGCGTCGTTCCATATTTTACACATGTTTTCCTTTTTGCCAATTTAATGATTTCGGTGTTTATCAGCAAAATCAATGCAGTTTAATATGTGACTGATCATAGAGCTAGTGGTAGCTTGGGGCCGTTTGCAGCCATGTTGCGCAAAGCATGCTCTGCGATCCAAACTCATAGTTCGCTCAACATCCAGTGTACTTGCTACCGCAAGTACAGTTAATAAGTTTTATGCTTTATGCGGTAGTTGAGATCCCAGTCTGTACTGGCGGGCCTGCTGCCGTCTCCTAGTCGGACTGCCTGTTCAAAGTGTGTTTGGTGCGGAGTTATCTGCGGCGTAATGACTGATTATGACGCGGGGCAGTGAAAGCCGCAAGGAAGCCATCTCGATAATGCCGCCTTATCTTCGCACGATAACCATCTGTGTGTGATGGTATGTTATTGACTCAAGGTGTATGCGCATTGACCCTGAGTGTTTGCTTAGGGCATTAAGGTTTTCCTCTAAGTCCCCCTTCTCTTTTTTATTATTCTTTATTCCATAGGTCATCATGGTTGTATGGCAGCGAAGCATCAGTTCAAATGGCTTATGTACTTCTGTTATTGATTGATTGTCCTGGTTTAGTACGCACTGCAGTTTGACTGGGAGTTGATACCGGTATCTACTCCCATTTTTATCTGCTTTAGGTAGCAACGTAATAAGTATCTTTTCATAAAAATTTCGTGTCCTGTTCTCATATAGTACCGAGGTGACGCAGTTCAGTCTATTTTCGATTGCTTGTTCCAAAAGTCGTCAAGGGCATGTGAATGGGGTGGTCCACACCATTTACTAGTATGTTGGGCGTTCAGAGTAGACTGAACATTTGGACAGACTTATGCGTGGTTAGATTCAGGTCATGGAAGTGAATAGCGATTGCCACGGCTGCTGCCAGTAGAGGATATCTAACCACTCATATATGGGGTTTGGCTACGCGTGGCGAAACGTTTCGTGAAGTTCGCACTCGTGCTTCGAATTTGCTAGATGCGTATTCACGGCGTTTGCCAGTGCTATGGTTACTTCGCTATGCAACCGTACTAGACAATCTTCGAAGGCTCTCAGACACTTCTACCGGTCCTTTCGGTGTATTTTCATCGACCGAAAAGAATAAAACGGAAACAATACTTCGTTTAGAGGTCCTATTTTTAACTTCCCAATTCAGAGTTAACATCTGATCGGAGCTTAACTGTAGGCTGGCTTTATAATAAGCCAGAGACTATTTTCGATGTCGATTCCCCTCTTCCGTCCCACTTGAACTTTAGCGACCGTTATTAAACCTGCTTTTCCTTCGTTTCCCAAAACTCTATACTATGCTGCTCGTATTTATCCGGATAGCCATTTTATATAGGCTTCATGCAATGTCTAGTTCATCCAGTGGTGTCCTTGCTCATCTAGTTTTACATCGAATCAGTTTTCATTTTTGGCTCAATGGAACGTAGCCGGCAGTTTGAGTGTATTGCTCGTTCCACTTACCATTCCTATGGACCCTGCGCTGGGCCGACACACTCCATCTACGGTTCAACTGGACTTCTACGAACGACATCGTTCTTTTGAACTGGAATTCAAAATCCAACTTTGTGTTGTGTGCTGAGTTATAGTACTTCCTTATTTCACCCATGTAAAGGTAGGTATCTGAGATTCAGTATATATTATCCACTGAATATCCGTGGCAGTATTAGCCATCAACAGCTCCACTGTATTTGTATTTCTCCAACTTACGATTTCAGCTTTTTCCTCGTTCCTATCTGTTGACATTTTATTTTTCATGTTTTCTTCGTTTTTCCACAGGCCAAATCTTACGATGCAAGTCATATCACTATGGTCTATACGGCACTTTCTACCTTGCTAACCCTGAACGATGGACTACAAGGCGTTGATCGTTCACACATACTACCAGGCATCTCCGCTCTCCAATGCTCAGATGAACCGGGGCTTTTTAAAGCGGGTTTTGTATGCCACGAACGTGATATGCGCTTCGTATTCTCCGCCGTTGCCAGTTGTTACATCCTAGATGGACTTTATGCCCTTGACAAGGAAGCCATCGTTGGCTTCATCGGGCGTTCCTTGGTAAGCAGCTTTCTCAAGTGGTGGAAATTTCCCACTCGTATTTTTTGTGGCGCTACACTACAGTCCACTTACTAGTGCTATCGTTTGATGCTGATCCTTGGAGTTGTTGATGATGATTCTCGTTTTTGTTTCAAACTTATTTGTGTTCAAGCTGAGACTCAATGCCTGCTCTCATTATGACAAGCTTTCCTCTGGAATTCTAGAGTCCACCTGCATCACTCCACGCCTCACACCACTGGGTTAATTTCACGTTGCTCGCGTCTTAAAGGACAAAAACAATAACTTTACAAAATCTATAGGATGACAGATGCAAAGGAAAATCAGTTTTCAGACACATAACGTGAAATAGCAGTAGTCTAAATACGGCATTTCTATTCATACTCTTCTATAGCATTTATCACTATGATGGAAGCCAAGGGATTTGGTCTGGGTAACTCAGATTGATTACCATATAAACCAGCTTTTACTAGTGTGCAGTGATTGGCTTTCGGTTGCGGCACTGATGCTTCTGGAGGACGGCACTGTTCGCAACTCAACGCAACAGTTGCTTGTCAGCGTCGTCGCTGTCCTCATCAACAGTGTCAGTACTTTTCATTGGCACTTCGCTGTTACACAATAATCCTGCTACTGACATCATGGGACTCTCATTGTTTTATTGTCTATTTCTACCCTGGTTGGTGTGCATTTTTGGACATTTTCCAACACTGTTAACAGCGCTTCCCATCGCCCCTATCCAAACCTTCCATAGTGTATCGTTGTTTTCAATTGATGGTTGTTTGCAAAACCACAATGGCAATTTATCGCCTGATGCTGTTCGCCAATCAGCCTTGATCTTGATATTTAGAAAATTACCATTCGGTATGGGCTTCATTATTTGTGGTTGTAGTTTGAGTGCAGTATTGGGTTAGCCTAAAATTATTTCTGACCTCGAGGCTAGGGTCGATTTTCCAGTTGTTTTAAACGACTGTGATGTAATCAAAAAGATACTGTGGCTCCTGTTGCTATGAGCCGCATCCCCATTAAGCCGATACTTAACAATAGCATTGATGTGATACAGAACGCAAGTAGCGTGTAGAGAAAAAGTTGAAGAATGGTAAGGTTAACCTACTTGCTAAATACTAGAGTACCATTGATTCTGCAGCTACGATATGTGTGATATGATCTCCGATCCATGGTATGTCCGGGTACGTGTCTATGTTAGAATTAGATCATTTCTCAATTAGTGATCGAAAGCGGCCATACAGTATCATCGGTGGGTTTATACTTCTCCATCTTAGCTCACTAACAAATTTCTACTCATTCTACTCGGATTTTACCTGCTCTACCCAATGAACCTTTCAGAATAGGAGAATTGCTTCTTCGTTCCCAAACCCCATTTTCTTCACTGATATCTATGAAGTCCTAACCAACACACCACTCAACCGAAACGTGCATCCGACGTAGCATACTAACCTAAGGATCCAAACAAGTTGCTTGGCAAGGAACACGTACGTAGTTGAAACCGGTTAATTTGTGGTGCTTATTCAATTCTTTTTACTCGTCTTCGTGTGGTTGTCTGGGTATTTTATGGTTGTACTTACCTAATCCTAACGCTACCTATCCGTGTATTAGTGGGCGTCCTCGCAGTATACTCAGCCCGCGCGCGACTGGTGGTGGTTGCGGGGCAGCGAAGCGCCGTTACGGCGTACAGCTGACACATTATTATTATTATTATTATTATTATTATTATTATTATTATTATTAACGCTACCTAGTATTCACTAGAAATGCTACTTAGCACTGTAAGAGCGAGAACCACTTCGATTAAATTGTAGACGAAACCAGCAGCCATGTCGCTGCTAATTTTTCAATCGTTGTCGATCTAAAAATGTTACTCCAGAAGAAATCGAATATAGCTGTAAACTACCCTAACCTTGTTATCACCATCCCACATGAAGTGACCACTCGAATTACTGTTGTTGAACAACAAAATTAGTAATAGTTGCGAATACACTTACTGGCTTAGCAGATATTACGTTAGACCGACTATGCACAGTCGGTTCTCTAAACTAATAAATTACGTAATCTCCTTTTCAGCGTGATACCTGCAATTAAAAGCGTTTTCGAGTGCAACAACCACAAATGATCGGAGAATGTACAGCACTGATGCAAATCGATTCTCAATTGTGACAGGGCATGAATGTTGATTGTTGTTTAAGTGTGTTGTCTGATGCTGCACAGGTTTTCTTTATCGAAATTGGTGCACCCCTGAAGAATATGTATTCGAAACGCTTACAAGATTATAGATTAGTTTGCATGATAGGAAAATTGGTTTCGGTGTGTATGAACTTTTGCTACACATTGTGACGCTTGTTTTGCTCAACACTAATCCATGATATCGAATGTTTGCTGTGACTTTCACATAAGACTGGAACAAGAGAGGCGCCTAGAAAAGGAACTGTAAGAATCGACTGCAATAAGAGTAACATGAACATCAACGATGAAGACAGTGAATGCAGAGGCGTGTTCGGTTGATTCGCTCCCTCCGTACGCACTTGTTTGTGACAACTTTGTGATTCGCATAGCCCTGTTAGAGGAAGAAAGAAGATAAGACGGTGAATGTACTGGTATTCCAATTGTAATCTTCACTGTCTGTTGTCGACTTTTTTCTGGATCATATGAATCCTGGGCGCTGTTCGTACGCTTGGCTATTTGTTATATGGCATCCCAATAGGTAGCTCACGTTTTACACTGTCAAATGTTTGCCGGTCCTTATGCGAAATTAGTGCTCTGAATTACAAACACCTATTTCGGATGGTTCCATATTCTGGTATACCTGTTAAGGAAGAAGTTGGCCGATCCGGTGTTGTTCAGTCTGCATTTCGCAGACTTCCTTCCTTATTCTTTTGTATAGTGGTGATTCTATTATTGTCATGGTAAGGTTGGCAACTCATTTTCTTGCGTAACACTTTAAAGAACATGATTAATTCATGCTTTACTCGCCTTAACCAGAGGGGATCAAACTACAGTTTCTCAAATCGTTCGAAATATTCTAATTTCTATGAGGTACCTACTAAGCGTTTTGTGAATGTTCCTTGTACATTTTCTAATACAATGTGGTCGCGTTTGTTTGTGCTGCTGTACACCATTGAACAGCATTCGAATAGGGTACGCGAACCTGATGTATAGTCACGGAGTATAGATTCTTTTAATTTAACTGTTTTTAACTAACATTCCAATGCTCTGTCTGACCTTTGCAGTGACATATCTTGCTTGTTCGGAGAAGTTGTTGAGTACACGAGCATGTCAGTTCCAGGTCCCGGTTGATGTTACATGTATTAATTGGCTTATCACAAATGTTCGGCCTACTGTTACGCCGCTTTTGCGAGACACTGCGTAACACTTAGTTGCCGTATGCAATATTCCCCACTTTGAGCACCAGCTTCCAACCGGGTGAAAGTCGAGCTTGATGATGTTGTTAACTTCGTTTATGGTAGTAGGGTGAATGGTGGACAATTTCGATATCATCGGCGAAAACGTATGGTGTTCCAAATTTCACTGCGTCAAAGATATCGTTGATATGCATCAATAACAATAGAGAACCAAAGACACTGCCCTGTACTGCATCACTGGTGACTGCTGTTGGTTCAGATTTGTGTTCTTGAATCTGTGCCACCTGTGTCTACTTTGTGAGGTGCGATTTGAATCACGAAAGGAGTACTTTTCCGATTCCACACGATGCCATTTTGTATCTTAATTTTCCTGGTGACTCTCGGTCAAAAGTTTTGTCCATGTCGAGGTAACTAATAGTTGCAGACATGCCCTTATCCTTTGAGACAATTAGATGGTGTGTGGAATTCTAAATTTGACCGTTATGCATGAACGAGCACTCAGGAACCTGTGCTGAGAGTTGTTGATTGACAGTAGGAAACCGATTGTTGTATATTTTATATATCGCCCCATAGTTTTTGGAGCATATGTCTATGGTTTATTGGACGATGCTTTCTTGTTTCGATGAGGAGCCTAATTTACGTCGCGGTATGACAATGGCTTCCTTTCCTTGTGTTCGTAGGGTGCTAGAGTTCATGGATATTCCGAAAAAATTTAGTAGCATCAAACATCTGTCGGCACCCCGGAGTTTGATAAGTGCAGGAGTTACACTACACAATCCCCCGCTTGTGTATGTCACGGCGTTCAAACTTGACTTGGGTGGGTTGATCAACTTCGAATGATGGTATGTTCAATCTTGGAGGGTTATTATCCACATTAAATCAGCTTCAGAATTGCTGACTAGATATTTCACTGGTGTGGGCAGAGTCAGTCATTGTGCGGTTATGTGCTACAGCCAATGTGATCGTGCCTTGATTTCGTTCAGCATTTTTGCATTGTAAAACTTTAATTAGTTCAGAATTTTTATACTGGCTGCTGTATGTTCGTTTTTATCAGCTATCTGTTTTTGGTGTGACATACCTGCTGTCTAATTGTGGTAAGCGTTTGATGTGTTGTACGAGGAAGGAGAAGTCATTTGTTTTGCGGCGTGTCCTTATCAGCTTTTTGAGGTTTGTTACTGTTTTACGTGACGCATGGGTTTTGTTCCTATGAGGAATGTGTCGATGCGTAGTGCGAGTGAATGTATCACAACATGTGTTAACCCTCTAAGGCATACGGGACAAATATGTCCCACACATTAAAATGCACGCACGTATTTTATTTGCCCACAGAATGATGGGAAAATGACTTGAAACAAGCCCAACGGATCATAGGAAAAACCGACAACGGTCAGTTATATTGTCTGTGTGCTTCAAACCATCATTTTGTAACAACCGGAAAGTGCTTGCGTTTCGTCATCACCTGATGCTCGCTTCTCTTACGTGCCTCAAAGGGTTAATGTTGAAATGGAGGAGAGCATCTGCTGCAGCTTGTGAGTCTCCAGCTGTCCCATTGGGCAGACTCATTCATTTGACAAACAGGCCCCCAGTCGATGGCTTTATATTTACTGGTATGTATTCATAATTTGGACACAACCAATATTTAGTATCGTGCAGAATTACTGAATGAAGATGGCACTACTCTGCACCCACTACATGGAAATTACTCTAAGACATCGGCGGATGCTGGTAATATACAAATTTAGAGTAAAAGGCCAATAATATGATTCTTTCTGGTTGGTGATCTGGCATATTGGATCCATCCGTATGAGTGTAAAGAGACCAACTTCGTGTATTTGGTGTGTATATGGCTTGGGATTCATGCTGAATACGATATGTTGAACTCCCACTTATCCGTTTGGTCTGCTACAAGGATACAAATCTTGTAGTTTCTTCGATGCTGGAATTTGCAGGCTCCTGGCGGCATCCTTTTATATTGGTTCTGCTCATCGCCGACTATTAACGCTGTCTTGTCCTGATCCTCTTGTTTGTTTACCAGTTACCGGTAAACAGATCTCAGCTGCTGTACCTTGATCATCCTTGACTTTTACAGTCTGTCGAAAAGCTACGCGACTAACGGCACCGAGCCGAAACGATTCAACGAGATTTCATACAGCCTTCAGCAGTTTGTGCAAAATCGTTACTTCGTGTTTATCTTCATCACCAAAACGACTGGGTGTTAATGGAGCAGGCACCCTTTTGCTAGCAGCCCGGAACAGTTGCCCATGACACAGGCCGAAGCTTATTGGCCAATCAGTGAGAGCGGGCTAATGATGGCGCTTCATTTTGAACGCTACCAATGAGGATGGTCTACCTTGAACCCCGCCAATGCGTGCTGAGCCATTCCTTTAAGAACTGTTGTTTCGACTCCATCATTTGATCTACTCACGAATAGCAGGATTTTAGTCGTAATTCTGATAAGGCTTTTATCCCAGTAGTTCACAAGCTACATAGCAGAGTCTAGTCCGGAAAAGCGCCAGACGCGTTTCGCCCTATGGGGGCTCGTCAGTGGCGCGCATTCCCTCGCTCCTCAAAGGAGGATTAAACCCATGGCCGCTAGAGGCAGATGCCAATTAGCCAGCAGCTTAAGCCACTGAGCCATGGGGGATGTTGGCTGGATAACGTAATTTGCACTAACTGGGATATAGCATCACCTATCTACCACTGTCACTGACAGTGGTTAGCCTGCGAGGTGATGACGTCCTCTCACTAGATGCTATATCCATAGCATTTGAAAATAGGAGAGGCTCTTTTTCTTTTATATTTCTCACGAGTCCCAATAGGGCGAAACGCGTCTGGCGCTTTTCCGGACTAGGCTTTGCTATGTAGCTTGTGAACTATTGGAATGAAAGCCTTATCATTATTTGATTTTTTTATACTGCTTTCCAGGTGCTCATTGCAGTTTTCGCCTGAGGCCTTTACCTTCTAATCTGGAAAGTCGGCCAGTCAACTTGCGTGGTAGCAGCATCTTATCCGTTCCATCAGCGAAAAGCACAACACTGGGGAGTTCTAGGGGTTTTGCGCCTCTTCGTTTACACCTACCTTTTACATCTCCACCTGTCTTCTAACCCCAGCCCCTATATGTTTTGGTATTCTTTTGTGTCCACGCGACTTATGCGGCTGATTCGATAGCAGAATTGTGTGCTCGATCCATTCACAACACCCGTAAGAGCTAGTATCGTCCATGAATAGGGTGTTATACTTTCTTACGAGCCATTGTTGGGCCGTACTTGTGAGTAGAAGGGCGACGGCTGGTCACACTCGCATGGATCCCTCTCTTGCAGCAAGTTGTATAGGTCCGTATTTCGTCACCAGTTTTCCTCGTTTCAGCTCGACACTAGCCTCATTGACTTGGAGAAAATGTGTACCCAAGATGGTAATTTGCGTCCAGTGACACGACGGTTGGTTGAACTTCCGACCACCGATTGCGATCGAATTCCCCGTCATATCATTTACGTGTATGTGGTAACCACTGACCGCCTTCATCCCCATGGAGCCCGACCGAGTTTTCACCCTATCTTTGATTAAGGAAACCGTCTTTTCCATTAACTTCTACCGTCGCTTCAATCGTTCCAATTTTCAGCACCCCAAATAAATACTATCCAAAACATGAACACTGCTTTCTATAAATTCTTCGGTACACAGCGAGTATTGCATCTTGATGAGCATTACCGCTTCCCGTGTTCCAGTTTCCCACAAAGGCAGCATCGTCCTTTCGCCTGTGTTTGCTGACGGGGAATTTGAAGTGTCCTGAGCACTTGTGTGATCTGTTCTAGCCTCTCCTGTAGCCTACCCCACTTGCTCTTCTACTTTTGTTCTTCAGCTCTCAATACAGCTACAATCTCATACGCATACTCCCTTGCCACCTGGGCAAGCTCCGCTTCCGTTCTCCACATAGCGTTCACAATTCGGAACCAATGGACCATCATCGGAGGTAGACTGTCCATAAACTACTCCACTTATAGTTACTGTCTTGACGCACTCGTTTTGGCAAGTTACTGAGGTGGACGGTAAAGATAAACGGGTCCTTTCCCATCCGAAGCCTGATCGCATTAGAACTCCACATCGCATCGTGGCGGTCGGTTGGGCTGTCGAACCCCGAAACCAGCGCCTCCTTCACGCCGCCTGCAGAATCGCTTTCACCCTATCTTTGAGAAAACTTCAGGGTAATCGACTGCTCACTCCGGCTAACTCCAGGAACTTCCTTGCGTCCCTATCCTTCGCTCAAGGCGGCACTGCGTTCTATACTCGGACACGTTTTCTAGGATGGATTCAGCAAATGTGGGACGGAAAGTGGTATGGTAGTGCGATCGAACACGGTTTTCAAGTCCGGCCGCTAACACTTAGGTCGAACTTAGCACTTCAAGAGTGCATAAAGAGCGAACAGGAAAATATTGATGCACCGATCGGTAGCTCGTGTGGGCATAGTGCCTCCCGGTTGCTCAGGCCGAGTAAAACAGTTTGCTTGGGGACCCTACTCGATGCCTTGAGTCCAAAAGAGCTGACCCACAAGCAGCGGGGTGATTAACGTATATCGCAAACCGTTGAGAGCCGGCTACTAACACGTGGATGACAAGGCTTTTGAGTAGAAACAAACTGTTCAGGGCACTCAATGAATCCTAGTAGAGAAACACGATGACCAGGAAAAGTTTACTAGACAACCGAACTCGTTGCTGGACACGAAGGCTGCTATTGACATTCATTTCGCTCCTTCGTCTTCTTGGTGTTCAGCCCGCGTAGATGCCGGTGGTCACCTAGTTAGTTCATCCGCCTTCCGTTGTGCACGCACATCTGGCTATAAAAATGACTGGTCATTAACCCTATAGCCGGTCAGCTTGGCTTTGACACGGCGCTCCACTCTCTCTTGTTGTGTTTAGTTTGGAACCAGGTGACTAGCCCAGAATTCCCCACGCTCTAGGACGTTGCCGCTGATTGTCTAGAACTGATTATTCATCTTCAGATATCTCTATGAGTAAGGCATTCGCCGATTCGGAATCTGGGGATGCGGACGGTCGCCTACACCTTAGCCAAATCAACCGATGGTTGGCTTACTTCAAGTCATATCGTTCACACACCCAAGGACCATCTAATCCAGTGTTGATAGTTTGCAGCTGCTGTATAAAGTTGGGCAAAACACAGAAGGTTTTCACTCAATGGCTTACAGAAATGCGTGAAGAAATTACTCGAAAAGCCTGATCAGACTTGGCGCCTCGGAGTCGTTTACATCCGTGGTTAGAGATCTGATCCGAAACGAGGCTTTTCAACTCAATGTTTGCCCATCTTCCTTCTAGCCCCTTTTTATTCTATTCTGATTTGTACCTCATCATCATGACGATGCGAATCATGCTAACTGATTCCATCTGGCTTCCATGCTCGGATCGCGGTTCTTTAAGTCAACCGAACGGAACTCGCAGCACTCGAAGTGACTTTGTTCAATTTCCTTCGTATAGGTGCACCATCCTTGGGGAAAGCCTTCTTTACTTTCGCTCGAAGGGCTGCGGGTTTGATGTGGCATACTTGTTCAACCATGCGCTGTTTTATATTGCGATACCTTTGCCTACCTTGACTTACACAACAACGATGGAAGGGTTAGACAAGCTTGGAGAAGAAAGCGCGGCATAGCAACTGTTAGGGCGCGTCAATGTGCATCAACCACGTTGGTTACGTCAAGATGCCCATAGCACTATCAATAGCTCCTTGTCGACACTGGGCACCAAATTGGAGGGAACCGTGTGTTTCGGGTAGTCTACAAGATCCCCGCGTATGGTTGCGGCAGCCGAAGCAATCTGTATTCGGTTGATTCAATTCTATCTGCCTGATGAGTTCAATCCAGAACGAAACCGTCGGTTGTGGAGTGCAGGGGTGAGAGACAGAGCAATACCCAAACCCTCCACTTTGCTTCAACTTCCTTTATGCTCCTGGAACCAACTGATCCAGATTCTGCAGCTGGCTTGGTCAGCAAAAGAGGAAAACGCTGAAGCCAATTGCGCTGCATCGAAACCACAATTGCCTCAGCCTAGTTTGGCCGTCGGTTCACGAACCTGGCGAGCACACGATTTGTTTCATTTATATTAATCTGCTCAGTTGTACCTCCATTGCTGGTTTTTTATGTGATTGTACAGGTCTGATGAAGAATCACTGAAAACGGTTGTTCACCTCTGGTCCCATGTGCTTGAAAACTACAAGACATTGATCCCAGCAAACTGCGCAGTGTATGAAAGTGCTGGGGTCGCGAACCCAGACCGATTACTCACGCGGTGCTTTTGTGCACTTGCTGCCTTTCTACCGGTACTTGGATGCTTCTTCTATTTCGCCCTAATGTGCTCCACTCAAAAACACATCTTCCTATGTACGTGTGCAAAGCAATACAATCTCATTTCTGCCCGTAGGTACTATTCATGTTATATTAATCAACTGGCCCATAATCCTCTCTTCTCGATCCACGATTGCTCGTGTTTTCCATTTTCGGTGCTTGTCTTTTTTAGACTCACGATGGTGGCTTCGGTTGCCTACCTGGGTTAGAAGCCCACGCTGGGGCGACTTATTGTGCAGTAGCGAGCTTGGCTCTCCTTGATCGGTTGGACTCATTTCTTCCTCCAGGCTCACGACCACGTGATCGTCTCATCAAGTGGCTCTTATCCCTGCAATCCGAAGGTTTACATGGGCGCTTGCACAAACCGGATGACACTTGCTACACGTTCTGGGTTTGTGCCAGTTTGAAGGTACGTACTTTTAGTATCGGTATCTGTCATGTATCGTTTCCCTGCATTTCTCTTTTGTCAGTAGTCATCCGAGTTAACTCTTGCAACTTGGAGGAGGTAGCTTTCGTAACACTACAAATTTTAGATGAGAGAAAATTACGTGCATTAGAGATTGTACACTTTCATTATCAGTTTGATGATACGAAAACGCGGTTGCAAATAGATCTCTTTTCGGAAAATCACATCAGACAGCTACGTTTACAAGGTTAACTGGGATAAGCACAAGCTAATGAATGCTGATGTGCAACAGATTGAGACTCAGAACTCGCTAACTTTATGCGGACGGCAGTTAATTCGATCGTCTCTGGTGCTGGGATTCTGTGTTGTCGGTCGAAGATGACCTGTTACGACCTAACCTGAAGTGGCTCGCTGATTTCTTCATTTAACAAATCGAGTTAGCCGAGAATATAAGTCGCCCTTGGTTGTCATCAGTGTACAATGCTAATGGGTCCTCGTTATGACCACGACAAAGTGAAATATCGTAACAGTGCCCTCTGTTTACGAGGCCCCAGTTGCGTCATCTTATCGCTATCGCTTTGGCTATCTTTATGTGGCGTTTCCTAACCGCATTGAGATATGGCTTCGAGATGGCGCACAAAACGTTGAAAACCTCGTCGGCCAGAATTTCAGGTCCGCTTTGAAGCAGATGTTTAAAGATGAAACTCTTGCTACAGTCCAAACTGCTATGGCGACCAGCCACAAACATCCCCAACATTTCCTCTTTGAGTAATGTCCCCCTGCATGAACCTGTCCAAGGCCACCAGTATTAGTCGGTCCTTTGACTGATCACCTTAGACAGGTTTGACTGTATTTCCGATAGTGCCTTTCCTCAATGACCCGGGGTAGTGCTAAACCATCCGCGTGGACAGACGCCTAACCGTATGCCACAGATTCAAGTATATTGATATGCCACGTACGATTCAGACTTTGACGGTAATCTGTCTTTAAGGCGCTGTGGAATAAATGAAGTGGTCTCCACAAGTACCGGTGGATTGGCTGCTGGGTAGCTTCTAGTCATTGCGACGAGAAGCCTTCTACTGAGCAGGTCGACAGAGATGCTTCCTTACACGGAACCGAGAGAAACACATCAATTTTTAGACTGTGACGACAGGATAACTATATACACGGCTCGTGGCTTGTTTTTTTAATGAAGCTAAATAACCGTTCGAATGCGGCGTTTCTAATATGCGTTCTTGTTTTCTAGTCTCAGAGCTGCATACGTTGGACGCTCGGTAATACATACAGCGAATTAAATTTATACCCCAGAGGCAAGAAGCCTAGAAAGTACGTGTATCTCCCCACTCACGTAGCCTTCCGGAAAACGCTTCTCTTAAGAGAACCGTTTCCCATCACAGCAAGTATTACGTCCAAGAACGCGACTTTTCTCTCTTTTTGGTGAACCTCAGAGATGAGTGTGCACCGTTGAGTTGATTCAGTAAACCGACGGCATCATTGCTTGAATCACAGACAACAAACTTGTCATCCATATGCCTTCAGTAGAAAGGTGAGGCGATAGTAGATTGGGTAGGACCACATTCAGCCTTAGCAAGGAAGACATCGGTGAAAAGAGGTTCTAGAGGCGGAATCACAGCAACCCCTAGGTGATAGCGCATCTATACCTTTTCTCAGCCAATTAAATTCATATCGGTTTGAAAGTCCCAAGGAAATTATGCCCCTCCGTAGATCTCTCAAAATGGTGCCTAAGCTTTTCAACTTGCATACAGTGGACACGAACGCCCCTAAATGCTACGGTCCATTGAGTGACCAATCCCAAATCAGACAATAGCATCTGTCATACTCTGCTTAGTTGAGATTGGTTACTCAAAGAACAGCACGTATTTTTAGGAGTGTTTGCGCCCGTCGCATGCAACGCAAGTATTAAGGCCCATCTTGAGAGATCTGTGGAGGAACACGATTTCCTTAAGGAGGAATTTGAAAGTGCTATAGATTCAATTGGCTGAGCAAGGGTTTGTTAAGTTGCACTGGTGTTCACTCCCTCAACTCTATGCATTCATGGCTGTTTGCTTCACTCTACTAGGACAAGGATCGACCCAAAATAATTCGAGAATGCAAAGTTAGACTTGGAGAATAATTCGAGAATGGTTAAGCAGCATTGAGGCGGCCTTCGTGTCATCCCACAAGATTCGCTGTAGCCTTGCTACACGTATCATTCGTGTTTACCTGCGAGCAAAACCAGCTGCGCGGCACAGTTTCCATTGCATCCCACTGGAAGCTTTTGTGGTGTGTTTCCATTTTGTTCGCCTCTGACAAAGCACACCTATCTACAAGTTATTCGACATAATCTAACGTGGACAGTATGCTTGTTGTCACTTATTCCTATTCTTACTGGCTATATGTGTGTGTATGATCTGCGCTTTCAAATGCAGGAAATTCAGTTTCTATGACAAAATCAACAATATAGGAAAATGACGAGAGGAAAATTACAATCGTGCTTCCAGAATTCACGAGAATTAGAATGCCGAACGGTATATGCATCGGATGGGAACGGGATGACTATTAGCGCTGGCAAACCGAGTAGCCGCGAAACCGTCGAGCAGAAGGCTACTAAAGTTTTGTCCTCTGTTCGGTGCCCAGACTACGTTCCGGCTTACCCAATGCACCGGTTTTGCTAGCGCCCTCTTCTCATTACGGGGAACTTACTCACTGGTGTTGCCATGCGACTGCACTGGCGACGCAGAAAGACTGGTCTATAGTAAGAGTCCGTTTACTAACTCAGCCAGAGGTGAGCATACCTTCTACACCCTTGTATACATTACTCAGTAGCATGGCAACGTAAAGCATATTGTAGAAAAAAACGAATGTTTACATGGCACATTAGTAGCCAGGCAGTGGAAATATCACAGAGGATAGATCAGGTGGTGTCTGCACGTCCTAACTGGACACCTAACTGGTGTCTTCCGTGAGAGCTTGAGTTATTCTGTGTGTGCTGTTTGAACCAGCAGGGCTACTGGAGAAGGCTCAGTGTTGCGCATTTTTATCCACCACATGGTGATCGTATTGCTTAATCTCTTAGGGAAGCAGCAGGCTCAGGTGAGCTCTGCACAGGTTTTGTTGGTACTATGCGAGCCCCCCAAGAAACTACCTGTGATAACCCATACATTGGTCAAAGTGAGATATGTCTGTCGACCACATTCCACTGAGCACTCGGTTGTCCTTATCTTCCCTTGTTCAATCCCCTAGCATCTACTCGATTGCGCTGTTTTCCGAGACCCTCGTGAACCATTCAGGCTTATCAAAAAGCAATCTAATTCTTATCCGATAGCTATCAGGACTTGCATGCTTCCAATGCTACATTCCCCGATCGCTCTCATGAATGCTTGTACTTCTCAGCTAGGGATACACGAACTGTGATTCGAAACCCAGAGGTAGATAGTGCTGGCTCACATCACCGACTTTCTCTGGCAACGCCTATCAAGTTGGTTAGTTAATCATTATCGTGACAAGCGTTGCATGTGGGACTTAAAAGAATACGTACGTAAGGATTTATGCTGATAATGCCTGTCTCCTAGACTCTGCAGTCTCCACGTGAAGCGCGCAAACGTGCACCAAACCTGTCGTAGAATATACGGCGTTGCGAGCATAAAACACCTGACATCCTTTTGCTTCGGATACGGTCCCAGTGGGATGGAACTGGTTAAAACTATTCAGGACCATAATTGAGCTTGTGTCTCACGCCCATCACACAATAAGCGCCCCGAACAAATCAATAAATCGAAACATGACATTTCCTTTATATTTCCAAATAAACGTATCAGAGAACAAAGCTCATAGGATGACATTTGCATTTCATGCATTCTCTTCGGCAATCTACTTGCAGCTAACAGAACATTCAAACACTCTTTCAACATGCACAGCAGCAGTATTCCTGTCTATCTACGCAGAAAATCATGCGTATCAGACGTACACAAGGCGGTGGCTGGGTCGTAATCCGCTCCACACTGGGTGCATGGAACCACTCTTTGAGGCTAGCACGGCCACGAAGACCTTGCACCCCGTGCATCCGGCAATGTTTCAGTCTCCCGGAACCAGTAATCGATGTGGAGTGTAATAAACGGGTCAATATTCACATCAATATTCATCAATATTCAATATTCACATCAAGCCTAGTCACACTGGGTATATTAAACAACGTACATGGAATTTGGAGGAATATAAAGACGCAAAATTGACACGGAATATGACACGGAACAACACAACTGAGCAACGAGTTAAGTGGAATGCTTTTTATCTCGATTAAAGATCTATACTTTAGGTGTAAGTTGATGTAACCTAATTGCGGTGAAGAAGCATGATGCAACGTTAACTTTGCATGAGGATAAAGGACTTGCTGAACCGCTGATTAGCCAGGCATCGAACCCGGGACCATTGAGATGTTAGTTGTGACCGCTACCCCTAAGCCACCGGGTTACGCTTGGGCATTAGCTACGGTCCTCGTGTTCGAAAGCCCAAGGTTCACTTCAATGGGAATCGCGGTCAACATTGAGATTGCGCGTCGCAATCCATCCACATAACGTGTACTTCAAAATGACCCTCAACATCTATGATTAGCCAGTTTTTACACTGATCCATAGGAGTGAATGCCGAGGTGTTGAAAATGCGAAGACAAGCATCGTAGTGTCCACTTTTCTAATATCTCAGTATTTGCACTGATCATCGGTAGGTATTGCAGCCACGTATTACGTAAACGCCAAGATTATTTGAACTGTTGAAGACTAGGGCTGTGGTGTCCAACTTTCGAATGAACCAGTGTTTTACCAATGGTAAGTGTAGGAGACAAACAAGACGAAGATTTAGCATCAAATGCCAAGGTGGACGGGTGAGGCACACATACGCTGGTAGTTCATCGGATACAACCGAGGCCAACGACGAAGTAAGGGCCTTCCTTACTCTCGACCAAGTAATCGCTTGGCCACCCTTCCTGTTCTTCCATGCACACCCTC